GGGGGGAGGGGAAGGGAGAATTGGGTTACTAAGCTGGGTGTCACCCCACAGGCGTCCCGAGTGGTCCTTCCTCTGGCTGCAGGCACCCCTGCGCAGCCTGCGCTATGGCATCTGGCGACAACACCGCTGCCGGATCAGCCTGGGGCTGGCACTGCTGCTGCTCCTCGCCCTGCTCCTCACCTTCATCTACGCCGCCCCGGTGAGTCTGGGGGGCACGGCTGCCCCCCCGATTTCCACCCTCACCAGTTGCAAAGCCCCCTCCAAGCTCCCCTTTCTTCCTCTTTGCAGGGTTATTTGGCCATGAAGGTGGTTAACCCTCTCCAGAGCTTGCAGCTTGCCGGCGGTGAGCATCCCGCGGGCGGTGCCGGCAAGCCCTGATGTGCCATCCCCCGGGATTGCTGAGGGGATGACACCCATCTGCATCACCCCTTTAATAAAGCCCCATCCAGTAACAGCCAAAGCATCGACCCCAACTCCATGGGCTGGGGGGACTGACAAAGGAGCTACTCCATTTTGGGGAGTCCCACGGCACTGGGACATGGCCCCCGACTCACTACGGCACTCGACAGCATCGGTTTGGGGAGGAAATGCTGCATCCGGGGGACTCAGCCGCGACCAGGAGCACAGCTGTGTCACACACACACCAATGTTTATTCCAAGACACCAGTTACAGCTCCAGGGAGAGGCGCATGTTTCACTCCTGGTTATCAGGCAAAAAGAGGCAAAAGACCAGAAAAACTCTCCTTTCATGCCACAACCACCATTGGGCACTTGAAAAAAACCTCCCACCTAACCCAGCAACAGCATCCTGCCAAAAAAAGGCTGGGCATGTGTGTCCTCCCCCCCCGCCCTGGGTACCACTGGGACCCCCACGGGGATCCATCCTGGGTGCGAGCATTCTGGAAAGCTGCGGGGCAGGGACACAGCTCCCCAGGACACTGGCGAGGAGGGTGCTGCCAATGATGGGGCTGGCGGAGCAGCAAATTTGCCCTCTTGATGTCCGCAGAGCCACTAAGACTCCCCTGGGACAAACTGACTTAATATCTCCCTCTCCTGAGTCCCTCTGGGGACCCTGCGGCCTTCTGTGCCATCACACTGCAAGCAATCGATGGGGTCCCGGGAGGGGGGGTGAAAGTGGCTGCGACGACTGGCAAGAGAAACGCAGAGAAATCATTGACCAAAGCAGTCACTGAGGTAGGAATAAACTACGACTCCCTGAAAGGCAGCGAGAGCTCCGGCTCTGAGAGGCAGGGGAATCGCCCCACGAGGCTCAGATCCTCCTTGGAGGGGCCCCGGGATGCAGCGAGCACCGAGGGGAAAGCTGCCAGAAGCCATGACACGACATGCAAACAGCACCGGTGCAGGAAGCCGCGCCAGGACGGGAGGCGTGCGGAGGCGGCGGCATGCTCAGCGGCAGCCCTACGGAGCGGGGAGAGGGACCGAGCCCCGAGACATAGCAGCAAATGGTTATGAATGATGGGGAACCCAGTGTTACACCCCAAACCGAGGAGAGGTCTGCAGCGAGGGGCTGCCCCAGGTTGGCTTCACAGAGGGCACCAGCTGCTCCCCAAGGGATGAGCCCAGCAGCCAGGCATGTTCCCAGCTCGACCTACCTTGTCACCAGGGAAAACCATCAGCATTCCCTGCCCCAAAACACCAAACCTCGGCAACGAGCGGGACGGAGAGGGGTTGCACAGCAGCAGGGGAATTCAAAGTATAAAGAAAAGCAGTCTGGTCTCCAAAGACAGCCTAAGGGCAGGCAATGGAAAGCAGCCGAAGTGGGATGAATGGCTTGGAAAATCCCTCCTGGAAATGAAACTGCTTGAGACGAGAGGTTGTGAGGATTACGGTAACACTGCAAGGACTAGTAGGAGTCTGGTGAGGAAAGCAGGCGCTCACTGGCATCCCTCTCAGCTGGGATTTCACAGCCGAGGTGGTGACTTCTGCCCGCATTTGGGCTCCACGTACGGCAGAGAGATGGCTCAGCGCCACCGGCACCCCACAGCACAGCCCGTCCTCCTAAACGACTCACAAAGCAAAGCTCCTCCATAGGACAGCAGGTCCATTCCCGCAGCGCTCAGCTCCCAGTCCATTGCACACCACGCTGAGGATCCCTGCTCCCACCAGGAGCAGCGTGGGAGTTCTGGAGCCCGATAAGAAGTGGCGGACATCCCCGCTGGGGTTTTTGAGGGGGACATGAGGGTCCCTGCTATGAGGGTCAGTCCATCACATTCTGGCCAGTCTGGGATGGGTGGGAGTCAGGACATGGCTAGCAAGGACTAGCAACAGGCCATCCCGGGGGGGGGGTTCCCAAGTCAATAGAAGTGTTTCCGGCTCTGCTCCTGCCACTTGTTGTAGACAATGACTCCAATGACGATGGCAAAAACAATGGCAACAAGGGAGAAGAAAACGATTAAGAAGAGAGCCAGGCCGCTCATGGGCTCCAGCGGTGCCTCCACTGCATGACAGAGGAAGAATAACAACCTGTGAGCTCCCAGAGAGCCCAGCACCCCAAAACCCAGCTGAGATTTGCCTGCACTGGGGGAGTTTACCCACCCCACACTGACACACCGGTAACCCCACATGCCACACACACCCTGCCAGGCTCACACCACCCCAGGGTTTGGCTTCCCAAAGCTTTCTGGGCCAGCTCGTCGTAAGGGCTACAGCCCCGAGACCTCAGGGGCTCGAGCCCCACAAGGGGCTCGTGGACACATCTGCAGTGGAGTTTCTGGAGGGAAGATGGCACCATTGAGGTTCAAACCTCTGTGAGCTTCCAGTGGACCAGCACACCCCATTTTGGTCACAGCACGAGCAAAGCAGAGCGGACATGCTTAGCCCGGCAGGCCGGGGTTCTCCAGGAAGGCAGCACCTCTCCAAGGGCAAGCACTGCTGCCCACTATGCCCACTCCAAACAGAGACGGGCTGTGACACCAGTTGTGTCACACAGCAGGCAAGAACAACCATTGGCGGAAGGAACAGGGCACGGACCGCCCGATTCCAGCTGGAGCTTGGCTGGTTTGCTGGCGAGATGATGTGGTTTCTGCTCTGTGAGCACCACGGCTCCACAACCCTACAAATCCCTCCAAATCCCTGCCAGTTCCACCTTCCCCTGCATGAGGCCAACGGCTCCTACTCACTTCCCGGCAGCTTCAGGTTGTCCACAACTGGCAGATACACCTCTCTGTCCCGCTTCTCCTCCTCTGGCGTCCGCTCCACTGTTAGCTGGTAAAGCTTCAGCGAAATGATGTCGTGGTTGTCTGGAAGCAGACCAGAAATGTATCCTGAGACGTCACCAATAAGTATGGCTCCAGCCAGGGATTCGAGTGCCACAGGCAGCACCGTGGGATGTTACCACTTGGGACAAAAGGCGCTGGCTTTTCCCTCCCAAGGGGGGAAAACTCACCTCCGCAGGGCAGGGTCTACGTCGGGCTGAGACCTGCGCCCCAGCACAGGGCCCTCTGCCAACAGGAACCTTTAAGCTACTTAAACTGAAAAACAACAGCCCAGATTGGGAGATCATCTGACTCAAAACCGCTCGGCCACCCGAAGGGAATGTGTTAGCATCGGCCTCATGTGGCCCTACTTCCTTTGCTCGTGATGATGGAGTTATTAGTGGGACAAGGCGAGCGCTCCACGCCAGCCTGCCAGCTCCCCGGGCACTGGGCAGAGATCTGAGAGAGAAAAGGAACTTTTGTTGGAGGCAACAATGGGCCCAGACACCAGCCATCAATGCGCTTTTGTAGAGGCATAACTCAATTTGGGCTTAAAACCTGCCGAAAGAGGCACAGCGGGATAACATCAGGCCTCATGGCACCTCGACCAGCACTGGGAGAGGAGCATTAGGCTGAGGAAGGGGGAGGGCTTTAGCTCTCTGCAAAACCTGATTTACATCGGCCCACATTGCACCACCATTTCCAGGCACACCTCGCTGGTCCCTCCCTCAGTAACAGGTGGACAATAGCTCTCAGGCTATGAAATCCAAAGTGAAATACTCCCAGGCATGTCCCAGAGACAGGGTCAGAGAGCAGGAGCAAGCATTGTAGCTTGGCTGTAACGCCTGGGGCGTTTGCAGCAAAGGCGGTTATTTCCAGCACTGCCCTCAGGGCTAACCCAGGCACCATGGGCTGTGGCAGGAGAGTACAGATTTTTTTTTTTCAGTGCTCATCCTGTTTTTACTCCTCCCAAGCTGCGTGTTTCGGAGACAGACCCTCTGGCTGAGCTGATACAGCCGCTTCACTGCCATGTCATTAAGAAAGGCTGGCTGAGGTCGGGCTGTGGCTCCGCAGGGAGCTCATGGAAAGTGTGAAACACTGCCTAGACAAAGCGCTTGGGGGAGTAACGCGCCCAGACTGGGCTTCTGGCTCCTCAGGAGTTGCTGCAAGATAAAAAACAAGGTGCCTGCTCACAGCTCAAGGGTGTTTAAAGCATGGAAAGGCCCTCACGTGCTTCTGTAAGCCCCACCACGTACTGAGCTGCACCTCCAGATACCCAAAGCTGCACAGGAGCTGCCAGAGCGGCTTGGGAAACGAGGCTGGGGGCCCCAGGGCAGTACCTGACAGGTCTCCAGTGACAGAAGAAGTCCCAAAGTAGTACCCGCGGGGCAAGCGCACGCCCGGCACATCGATGCAGTCTCTCCACTCGTGCTTACCGTCGATATCGATCAACACCTGAGAAAGAAGAAGCTCCCTTAGTCCCCCCCATGGTCCCACTGCCCACTCTGCCCTGGCAGGCAGCACTCACCGTCAGTCTCCTCTTCACGTAACGGATCACCAAGAAGGTGTCGTGGTTGAGGTTGCGCACCATGGCCGTGCAGCCCCCCAGCTCCGTCGGTCGGCCGTCCCGGTCGTGGTCGTAGGTGAGAGAGCCGTTGTTTACCATGGCCGAGATGTACGGGAAGACACGCTGCGAGGGGGAGCAAGGCTCAGGGTGAGTTTCTGCTCTCGCCCCACCAACCATGGCTCGGTTCTACCAGCTGCCTGTGAATCCTGGCACACCTCCAGGGTCAAGAGCCACGACAGCCCTACGGACCCCAAACTCCTTCACCCCCCAAGAATCTGCCTCAACAAGACAACAGCACGATCCCACTCCATCCCTCAGCCTTCCTGGGGCTCAACCTCAGCTCCCAGGTACCCAGGATGGAGGACAGCCAGTTTCCATGCAGTCTCTCACAGAGGGATTTCTGGAGATCGGAGGAGGGAACTCCTCAACTGTGAGCCAAGGTGAAACCCAAGAGCTTGGGAATGGGTAGGTCAGCAAGAGCAAGTACCTGATTTCCCGGGCTGTACCTCCTCTTCTGAGCCTGCCAGTCCAGGGTTATCGCAAAGCAAGAAAGAGCACAGAAGCAAGACGGTCACAGACCAGAGTTTAGTATTAACCTGCAACCTCGAACCTTCCTCCCTAGAGAGCTCGGCGCATTGTCGGCTTAGCTGAGACTAAAGCTAAGAGGGGTTTAGGTGTTAGATGTCAGGTGTCGAATCCCGGGACACATGGCAAGGAAATGGCACCGGTGGGCAAAAGCCACATTGAGTGTTGCCACATACAGCATTTCTCCTCCTCGCTGCACAGCAGCTCGCTTGCACAAAAACCAGCACCCCAACAGGGGACACATCAGCCATGACAGCTCCCCAGGGACCCACAACTAACCTGCCCCTCTTCCCTCAAGAATAAGACACTTCTTTTTGTCCTTTTAAAGGTGAGAGAAAGCAGCCGTGAACCCACACACCATCACAGCAACCGGCCAATCAACATTTCTCCATCTCTTCCCTTCCTCGGCGCTTGACTGGAGGAGGGCAGCCCCCTCCAGTTGCAGACTGAGCTGGGAAGCCGGAAACCAATGTTGCACTGATCATTTCTTTTAAATAAGACCTGTTGTGCATCCATTTACCCCAAAAAAGCAGAGCTGCCACCCCACAAATCCACAGGATCCATCCAACAACATGCTAATCCCCGTGCACTGCTGGTAACACAGTGCCAGGCGGCTCAGAAAGGCTTTTACGAGCACAAAGTCCACCCCTGCACCAGAGCCGGCTTCTTTGGATGTTCGAACAAAAGCTGGTAGTTACTCAATGTTCGCTCGGCAGCTCCGAGGTCAGGGCGCATCCCAACCGCACCCTTTTGTCTCTCTCCATGGGAGGAAGGGGGTCCTGCGGGGTGGTGGGGTTAGCGCCAAGGTCTTGGGGTAAAATAGTGCCTATTTTTTAGGGGTAACTGGAATCAAGAAAGGGCCCAGCTTTGTTTTTGGAGTGATGAAACAGATTCCAGCATCAGGGTGGGAAGGGCCTGGTTCTAACTGCCCCTACAGTCCCTTCTTCACAGGAACGGATGCCAATAAACCCCAAAGAAACAACAGATGCATCAGGAACACAAAGGTCTCTAGATGGGCATCTTACAAAGAGGCAGAGCACAGTCACACTGCATCCTTGAGAGCAGGGAAAGCCTCCTGCCAGCTAGCTGCCATGAAACAGCCCCATCGTGCTGGCAGGCCTGGGCTGGCAGCTCGGGTACTGCTCTACTCAAGGTCTACAAAGACCACACACTTGGTACAGCTTCACCTCAACCGCTACTTGCTGGCAGCCTCCAGAAAGCACAGGAGCTCACAACACGGAGGTGGTGTCACCAACTAGTTTTCTCCTGCCCTGAAAGCCTTTTCTTGGGTAAAGCTGACCACAAAACTACCCCTCAGCTTTTCACGCCTCTGAAGAGTTATTGCCTCACTAGGAAGAAAAACCAACTACACGGAGCACAGCAGGGGAAAGGCAGTGGAGAGGAAGCAGAGTAACATCTGGTCTCTGATTTAAGAGCTCAAAAAAGATCGTACCGCACCAATGAAGAGCTGTGTTTGCGGCGACACGAGCCGTAACCTCGGCGCTGCCTGTGCCACACTCTGCAGGCAGCCGGCAAGCAGCACGGTCCTGTTTATCCTTCCTAGCTCACCTCCTGCTGCTTCTCCTCATTTGGATAGGTGTCCACAAACACTCCCAGGCCCAGGAAGTTATCCTTGCTTCCAAAGACAGGTCCTAGAAGGAAGGAGAGGCTCTGAATAAGGGTGGCAAGACCAGGCAGGCGTTGCAAAAGGTTCATTACCGTCCCTTTGTGTGGCCTTGAGCAGTTAATCAAGTACACAGACCCTTCAAGTAGGGAAGTCAGAGAGCCAGATTAAATCCCCTCCCCTTTGCTGGTAAAGGATCAAGCTTCCTCCACAGTCTGTTTTTTAAGGAGCTGACTCCCAGCATGTGAGGCCCCACGCTTCCCGTTACACGGCCTATCTCAAGATCAGGGCAAAATAATCCCAAAGCCACCTACCCCCGAGCTGACTCCAGCCTCCCAGGGCCCCCGTAAACCCCCAACCCAGGGTGCTGAGGCTCAGAGGCAGCCTCATGCACGGTCGTTACTCTCTCTTTGCCTGCCAGGGTGAAAGAAAAACAGCCCAAAGGCCCAAAACACTGCAATTCACTGCTGTGATTTCCCCGACTGAGCCTAGAGACCAGGAGGGCAAGTCTGGCCAACATGTGTCCTCAAGAAGGTGGCACGTGCCGCTCGACACCTTCCCCTCAAGGCACAGCCTCCACCTCAGCAGGTACTGCCGGCGCTTTACCTGGCTGCATGCGATCTTTGGTGTACCAGATGGCAAAGCCGTCCCCGTTCAGGTTTTTCTTGCCTTGCCCGTGGATTTTAAAATGCACCTGCATCTCCCAGTCTCGGAGGTAACATGGCTGCAAGAGAAGGAGCGAGGATGTGAAATTAGGGTGTCCCTCGTGCCAGCATCTGCTGCTTCCCTGCCCAAAGGGATGAGGGGTTGGCGGGGACGGACCACCGCAACCAGCTGCGCCATCCTCTGCCCATCGCAACAGCCGGCAGCTCCGCACGCTGTCAAACCAGAAAGCGCACTGCCGCTCTCTGTTGCCCTTGCCAACAGACCATGCTGTCCCATATTTTGGATGCGAGCAAGAATAATTAATCCCAAGGGATACCATTAAGCTGAGGGAATTGGTCGTTACCCAAGGCTATAAAAAGCCAAGGGACTGATTCTGATCTCACACTATTCTGAGGCAACAGCAAAATGAGTAACTCGCACCCAGGAAAAGGGGAGCACAAAAAGCCCGAGGAGCAGCTCCTAATTGCTGACAAACCAATTATTTCTTGAGCTACCAACAAATTCCCTGTGCTAACAGGCACACAAGACAACGAGCTTGTAACAGATTCGCTCACACAATGTTGTGAAGCCGGCCAGTGGCTTCACTCAGAAGCCACAACATTTCACAGGAGCCGTAAACCCAAGAAAAAAAAAAAACCAACCCTTCCTCAATATTTTATAAAAATAAAAGTTGCGCGTGACAGATCGCTTCTGGTCTCGTAGGGCATTTTCCAAACCATTGGATCCTGAGGCACAAAACCCCCACCGATTTCAACCCCAAATGGAAATTCAACGGGAATTATCAAGGTATTGAAAGGAGCCTTGCTGTCTGCCGAGCAAAAGGCTTGTGGGGACAGTGAAACACCTAAACACCTTAACAGAGTGCAGTGCTGGTACACCATGCCAAACCGCCACTTTACTGGCCCCGCTCCGAGATGTGGGCACGGCAAAGGGAGCGGTGGGCTTGCTCCAGCCGTGGGTGTCCCAATAGAGACCCCAAGTCGGTCAGCACAGACACCCCAAGTTCACATGGAGGGGACTCAACCCTTGCAGGAATCACCACACCAAAGGCTGGAAGCTGAAGTGCCACTGCTACCCCCAGCCCAAAGTCCCCCAGCCCCCAAAGCCACCCAGCTCTAACCCCCACGGCCCTCCCCTGCCCCACT